TACACATTCGATCGTCTTGGACGTTTTCATCGAATGGCACGAGCCAAGTTCCGGAGCTGATCGTTGTAAACGGCAGCTGTGACAGTCTTGCTAGCGGTCAGTAACTCCTAATAAACGAGACCCCTCATATCCCATCGTACTCAACACCGCAAGGGAGCAGAACGGCAATGCGTTTACTGTGAACATACAATATCCAGCTTTCATCGCCGATCACCAGATCCGCAAGAAACACTTTTCGATACGGCTGAAAAAGCAAAGATATGCAGATGTTGACACCGGCCTGCTTCTGAGTATTCGTCAGTCGGGGATGATCCATCCTGACAGTACTTTTCAATAATCATCGACATTGAGAAAGCTTTGAATAGTGGAGTGGAAGCATCCATGTATCGTTGCCAACTCATGCATAGTGGCCTCGGGTTTGTTGTGGCAGCCCTTAGTAATTCGTCTATATCGATGCATCACGCTCGTTAACTGCGTACCTTACATTCAAGGCTGGTGTTTCCTAAAGCGAAGCAAATAAGGAACGATTGACCGTTGGAGGCTGAACATTGCCTTCACCCCCTGTGTTGTTGATGACATCAGCCGCTTCAAGCCTGCTCTTCTCCCTTGACGTTACTCGTAGAAGATAGTGGTGCGAAGCTGGTGCTGAGAGATCATTTTCGATATAGCACCGAAAGCTATTCTTTATACTCATGTGTTGATTGCCCTTAGTGCATTCAGTAAGTGCTGAGCCCTTGCTAGGTAACTAGAATTGTATATGAAGGTTTATTTGAATGGAACTGCGTATAGAATATGAAGCGAAGGTATCGGAAACGTGGATATGTGATTGAGTAGGACAGTGTTCGGGACACTCGGGCAGTGGTGGGTTCTGCGGCCTCTCAGCGATCCTGCGCGTTCCTCAATGACCATGCGCTGTTGCTCTTTCCGCCGTCCTTGTTATCATGGTCGCTCATCTCGAGCCGGCAAGCCTGGAAATCACATGTTGCTGACAGCCTACCCTACTCTTTACTCCCTTTACACCTCCCCTAACCACAAAAGTCCACCTGTGTAGACTGCACTACTGCATTAATGCTCTCGGACCATCGGACGACCGTACCCCAGTGGGGAAGAGATCGGAGCGATGCCACTTGACCTAGAACAAACTGCCCGTCTCGTGATGGCTAGTTCAGACGAAGGCGGTTGTCGACAAAACTCGACGCTGTTCCCTCCATCCCAGTACGCGTTGTTAGAAGTATTACTACGTCCATTTCACGCCCTTGGATGAAGTCTACGGTGGCGATTTCAATATGGCATGAAGCAGCGAAATCTTTTAACAGTCGGTATTGCTCGCGATAGAAAGTGATAACACAAATTCGCGGCGGCGCCAGTTTGGCTACGTCTAAGAGGTAGTCGATTGAGGAGCTGCACGCTTGGGCTTCGTTCTCGTTTGAGTGTGAGCGCGTAGGTGCTCTAACGGAGTATCCTCTCACGTTCACGAGAGCGAAAGATACAAGCGGATTGGGGAA